CAGAGGGCTGGCCTGGAAGAGGGGCAACCGGGACAGAATCCGGCGCCCCGACCGGGACTAGAACCCGGTGTGCCGGCGCCGCTAGGCGGAGGATTAGCCTAGTGAGCTACGGCGCCGGCCAATTTTCTTTATTTGAAAGAGTTACGGAGAGAGGTAGAGACAGAGAGAGAGGTCTTCAATCCGCTGGTTCACTCCCCAGATGGCTGCAATGGCTGGAGCCGTGCCGATCCGAAACTGGGATCCAGGAGCTTTAAGCTTCCTCCAGGCCTCCCACATGGGTTCAGGGGCCCAAGGACTTGGGCCATCTTTCACTGCTATCCCAGGCTACAGCAGAGAGCTGGATTGGAAGAGGAGCAGCCGGGACTAGAATCAGTGCTCATACGGGATGCCAGCACTTCAGACCAGGGCGTTAACCCGCTGCGCCACAGCGCCGGCCCCTAAGCTGTTTATTTTTAATGCAGAATTTTAAAATAAAAATTGCTAAAACCCATATATCTAACAATATTAAATTAAGCCTGTTATAGTCTTTACCATGAAATACCATGCGGTCAAGGATTTGTAAGAAGGAAATGCATGCAGTCAAGGATTTGTAAGAAGGAAATGCATAGATCATAATGTTAAATGAAAAGGCAAGCTGTGAGACCTATGATCTCAGCCATATTGAACTTTTTTTAATCTGTGCATCTTCATAAAACCTAAACAGCATGTGTTTTTGGTGATTGTTTTTAAGTGGCTGAAGTACAGGTTATGTGAAATTTGCATTCTTTTTTCCCTACATTTTCTTAAAAGAGAGATATTTTATGATCAAAATGTGATTTCTAAAAAGATTTTTTATTTACTTGAGAGCCTGAGGGATGGAGAAAGAGAGATAGAGAGAGCCACCATCTGCTGATTCACTCGCCAAATGCCCACTGTGGCCAGAGCTGGGCCATGCTGAATTGAAGCTGAGAACTTTGAGTTTCCCATGTGTGTGGCAGGAGCCTGGTCACTTGAGCCATCACCTGCTGCCTCCCAAGGTGTGCAGTGCAGGAAGCTGGGAATCAGGAGTGAAGCTGGGACTTGAACTCAGACACTCCAGTATGGGTGGAGGAATCCCAAATTATGTCTTAGCTGCTATGCCAAATACCTGCCCCTGTTTTGCTTTTTAATATGTTTATCAGATTTCAAAGATAAACTATGATATTTACATTTCTTGTTTAATTTATCAGGGTTAATAAATTTTTTTTAAAAAGATTTATTTATTTATTTGAAAGGCAGAGTTAGAGAAGGTCAGAGGCAGAGAGAGAGAGAGAGAAGTCTTCCATCTGCTGTTTTATTTCCTAGATGGCCGCAGTGGCCGAAGCTGCACCGATCCAAGGGCAGGAGCCAGGAGCTTCCTCTGGGTCTCCCACGTGGGTGCAGGGTCCCAAGCACTTGGGCCATCTTGCACTGCTTTTCCAGGCCATAGTAGAGAGCTGAATCGGAAGTGGAACAGCTGGGACTCAAACCAGCTACCATATGAGATGCTGGTGCTACAGCAGGCAGTGGCTCGACCTGCTATGCCACAGGGCTGTCCCAAAGGTTAATATGTTCTTTTTTTTTTTTTTTAAAGATTTATTTATTTATTTGAAAGAGTTACATATAGAAGGACAGGCGTGGGGTGGGGGTGGTTCTTCCATCCACTGGTTCACTCGCAGGTCTCCCATGAGGGTGCAGGGTCCCAAGGACTTGGGCCATCTGCTACTGCTTTCCCAGGCCATAGCAGAGAGCTGGATCGGAAGTGGAGCAGCTAGGTCTTGAACCGGTGCCCATATGGGATGATGGCACTGCATGCCGCAGCGCTGGCCCCTATCCTTTAAACATGTATTTACTTCTTAAAAATGAACAAAAGGTATTCCATATCATTTTAGTATTAAATTAAATTACACTTTTTAAAAGAAATTAAAATTTCAGACAGAACATCTGTCCGTACATTTTTTTTCTTCTCATCTCTGAACTGATCACGAAGTCTGGAGTACACTGAGTAAGCTAATCAGAACTGACACCTGAAGTTATAAGGTGGGCTCAATTTCACCCAAATTTCATGGTTGCTGTAGCCATGGGGGAGGTGCAGAATAGATATTGGGGAGTAAAGACCGTGTCCCTCATCATGGTCTTTTCATTAAAAAGAGATTTAAAAAAGGGACTGGCCTTCTGGTGTAGCATAATAAGATGCTGCCTCTGGCACCAGTATCCCTTTTGAGTGCCAGTTGGAATTCTGGCTTTCCCACTTCTGATCCAGCTTCCTGCTTACATGCCTGGGAAGGCAGTGTAAGATGACCCAAGTATTTAGGCTCTTGCCACCTGCATGGGAGTGTCAGATGGAGTTCCAGGCTCTTGCCTTTGACCTGGCCCAGCCTTGGCTTTTGTAGCTATTTTTCTATTTCTCTCTCTGTTTTTTTTTTTTTTTTTTTTTTTTTAAGATTTATTTATTTTATTTGAAAGGCAGATTTGGGGGAGGGTCTTCTTTCCACTTGTTCACTCCCCCAATGGCTGCAATGGCTACTGGAACTAGGCTTATCCGAAGCCAGGAGCCAGGAGCTTCTTCTGGGTCACCCATGTGGGTGCAGGGGGCTTAGAATCTGGGCCATCTTCTACTGCTTTCCCAGGCCATAGCATAGAGCTGGATTGGAAGTGGAGCATCTCGGACTCGAACTGGCACCCATATGGGATGCTGACACTGCAGGTGGTGGCTTTATTGGCTAAACCACAGTGCTGGCACCATCTCTCTTTTTCTCTCTGTAACTCTGTCTTTCTAATAAATAAAAAATAACTTTAATAAGAGCAGTTAGGCCGGCGCCACGGCTCACTAGGCTAATCCTCCGCCTTGCGGCGCCGGCACACCAGGTTCTAGTCCTGGTTGGGGCGCCGGATTCTGTCCCGGTTGCCCCTCTTCCAGGCCAGCTCTCTGCTGTGGCCCGGGAGTGCAGTGGAGGATGGCCCAAGTACTTGGGCCCTGCACCCCATGGGAGACCAAGAGAAGCACCTGGCTCCTGGCTTCGGATCAGCGCGGTGCGCCGGCCGCAGCGCGCCGGCCGCAGCAGTCATTGGAGGGTGAACCAACGGCAAAGGAAGACCTTTCTCTCTGACTTTCTCTCTCACTGTCCACTCTGCCTGTCAAAAAAAACCAAAAAAAAAAAACCAAAACAAACAAACAAACAAAAAGAGCAGTTAAATAAGCAAGTCAGCAAGGCAGAGGAAAGACAAAACATAGTAAGCATATCAAAGATGGGATTAAAAGCAGCAATGGTGGAATATAGTATTGGCAAACTTGTGACAGTTCAAAAGTTGGTGATTGATTTAAAAAAAAAAAAAGAATGTATCCATGGGTACTTTGGAACTAAAGCTCCTGAAAACTTTGTCTCCTGTATATTGTGTGGGCTGTTGTATCACTTAGATTACCTTTAATTCTAAATAACAGGAAATACAACTCAGAGTATCTCAAATAAGTAAGATGTTTTATTACCTCATATAATTGAAGAATATTTAGAGATAGGTCAGCCTTTAGGTTCTTTATAGAAAAGATGGTGATGTCATCAGGCCTTCCTTAGCTTTTTTTCCCCCTGTAGTTCTTTCTTTCTACCTTCTGTATATGATCTTTAGTCTCAAGTTCAGAATGTGGTGGTTCTATGGGCTGGCTGGACCAGTTTAGACTCTATTCTGACTTTGAAGACTTGAAGTTGGAGTCATACATCCCTCAAATCATGTCGGTTACAAAAAAGAAATGAAGGATTTTGAGATGGGGAGCAATAAATTATGAGAAAGCAGCCATTAATGTTAAAGTAGATGAATACAAAAATAAAGTAGATGAATAGTCCTTTATTTCTGAGTATTCTGTGAAGACATTAATTTACATAAATTCACTCCTTATTTGTTTAGCTTTTAGTATTTTATTAAGCACTTCCTATTTGCCAAGCACTGCTCCAGGCACTAAGATTGCAGTATTTCATGGAGCTAACATTCTAGTAGAAGGAGACCTGCAATGAACCAATAAAGAGAATTGTAGATAATGCTAAGTATTATTTCTTTAAAAACTGAGTAGTGTGAAATAGTTACTGGAAGGAGAGTAAGGGAAAGACTTTGAGGGAATGAGCATTTGTTCAGAATCTGAGTGATGAGAAGGAAAATGTACAAAGATCAAGGTGAAGAGCATTCTGAACAGAGGAAACAGCCAGAGCACTAAGGTAGGAACAGTCTTGGAATATTAGTTTAATAGAATCACAGTGTCTGGGGAGTAGGAGAAAAGATAGAGAAGGTATGAAATAGGCAGGAGCTATACATGGTAAGAAATATGAATTATTTTCCTTTAAGCAACCATATTAATGTTATTCTTTCACAGACAAGTTATGTTCAAACTTTTAATGAGGTTTGAGAAATATGTAATATATTATAGAGAGAGTTCCATTTTTAAAATCAATTAAAGCGGGCCAGTGCCACGGCTCACTAGGCTAATCCTCCGCCTTGCGGCGCCGGCACACCAGGTTCTAGTCCCGGTCGGGGCGCCGGATTCTGTCCCGGTTGCCCCTCTTTCAGGCCAGCTCTCTGCTGTGGCCAGGGAGTGCAGTGGAGGATGGCCCAAATGCTTGGGCCCTGCACCCCATGGGAGAACAGGAGAAGCACCTGGGTCCTGCCTTCGGATCAGCGCGGTGCGCCGGCCATTGGAGGGTGAACCAACGGCAAAGGAAGACCTTTCTCTCTCTCTCTCTCTCTCTCACTGTCCACTCTGCCTGTAAAAAAAAAAAAAATCAATTAAAGCATGGGTACTCTATTTCTAAACTTTACTGAATCCATTTCTCTTGAGCATTTCTTTTTCACAAAGCACTTTCACTCTGTAATACAAAATTGGTAGAAATTCTGATTTATATAACCTTGTCTCATTTATGATCATGTATGTTCAAATTTATATGTATAGAGTTCACTTTTGGGAACTTTAGGTACTAGATGTTTGAGATCCTTTAAAAATGTACCCTGTTTTCTTGTAGGCAACATTAAATATCATTCACAGTGTTGTTCTCTCAGTTCTTGACAAAAACCAAAGGACTAGAGAATTGGAAGAGATTTCACAACAGAAGAATGTTGCAAAAGATAATTCACTGGACACAGAAGTGGCTTATTTAATCCATGAAGGCATGTTTATAAGTGATGCATTCAGTGAGGGTGAATTAACATCTATAGCAGTTGACACTACCTCTCAAAGAAATGCATCTCCAAGTAGTGAGCCATGCAGCAGTGATTCAGTATCTGAACCAGAATGTACTACTGATTCTTCATCCAGCAAAGAGCAGACATCATCATCTGCTACTCCAGGAGGTGTGGATATTATGTGAGTATAGTGGCTGTTGCCAAGGTGATGAGATTTAACGTCATCTTATGGATGGTTTCAATAAGATTGAATATTCAATTTATTGAAAACAACAGGTAAACTTTAGTCTTAGAATTTAAAAATATTTATTCTATGAAACATACATCATTTTTAAAAAACTATGTGGGAGGATAGAAAGTGAACATTGAAGTTAATTGAGAATTGTGAAATTTTACAGCTGGGAGGAGCTTTAAAGACCATTCATTTAAATGCCTTCATTTCAGTGATGTTGTAGCTGATGCCCAGGGAGCTTAGATGATTTACTTAACATCAATAGTAGCAAAACTTGTCCTGCAGTCAGGTCAGTTATTACTTTGGATATTTTCCTCTGATGTCATTATTATGTTTCACGTGTAGTAAAGGTCTGTTTTATTTACATTTGGTTTTTCAAGAACACAAGTTTCCAAGTGGATCACATTGTCTTAAAATACTTTGTTATTTTGAAATTATTTCAAATTTACAGACAAGTTTCCAGAATAGTACAGTAAACTCATATGTTCTTCATCTAGATTGCCTAGTTGTTATGTTTACCCCATTTCCCTCCCTCTCTCCCTCTCTCTGTCGAGTTAATGGTTTTTTCTAAATCATTTTACATTAGGTTATAGACATGATTCTCTATTATTCCCAGATACTTCAGTATTTTCTAAACACAAGAGCACTCTCTTATATACCTATATACTTGGTATACCATTAAATATAAGAAAACACTGTTAAATCATTACCATCTAATTCACAGACCTCATTAACAGGTAACCAGTTGTCCCAGTCATCTGTGGTATGTAAAAATCTTTTTGGTCCAAGAACATAGTTTGGATTTAGTGATTGTTAAGAATAACAAGTACTCGATACTTTTATACATCTTTACATCAGTCAGCTTATGGTCCAGAAGTTTATAAAGGTGACAGCTACAACATTAAGTCAACTATACCTTCCCTTCCTATCAAGCTAAGCCTCTGAACTAAATGTTAAAAAGGTTGTTTTTTTCTGTGTTCAAGATAGTGTTTTTTGTTTGTTTGTTTTTTTAAAGATTTATTTATTTTACTTGAAAGTCACAGTTACGCAGAGAGAGAGAGAGAGAGAGAGATCTTTCATCTGACGGTTCATTCTCCAGTTGGTTGCAATGGCTGGAGATGCGCCTATCCGAAGCCAGGAGCCAGGACTTCTTCCAGGTCTGCCACATTGGTGCAGGGGCCCAAGGATTTGGGCCATCTTCTACTGCTTTTCCAGGCCATAGGAGAGAGCTGGATTGGAAGTGGAGTAGCTGGGTCTCGAACTGGTGCCCATATGGGATGCCAGCATCGCAGGTGGTGACTTTATCCACTATGCTGCAGCGCCAGCCCCCAAGCTAGTGTTTTTACATTGGTTAGGGTACTGTCCAAAATGGCTACAAAAAGAGATGTACAAACTATATAGCTAAAACCATATAGAATTGTGTTTCTCTTACGTAGCATTTCGAAGATTAGCAGTACACAAGTACTGGGGCCCCTAACACTCACAAGGGAGACCTGGATGAAGTAGCTGACTTCAGCATGGCACAGCCCTGGCAGGTCTGTTCATTTGGGGAGTGAACCAGCAGATGAAAGATCTATCTGTTTCTCCTTGCTCTGTAACTCTGCCTTTCAAATGGCCGCAACATCTGGGGGTTGAGCCAGGCCGAAGCCAGGAGCTCCTTCGAGGTCTCCCGTGTGAATGCTGTGGCATAGGCACCTGGACCATCTTCAGTTGCTTTTCCAGGCATATTAGCAGGGAGCTGAATTGGAAGTGGAGCAGCCGAGACTAGGAACCAGTGACACAGGTAGTAGCTTTACCTGCTGTGCCACAATGCTGGCTCCCCTCTACCCCCCAGAAATTTATTTAAGCTGGTTTTTGCTTTTTATTTAATTACTTTTGTTTATTTGAAAGGCAGAGATAGAGACAGAGAGAAAGATTTTCCCATTCACTGCTTTGCTTCCACAATGCCCACAATAGTCAGGGCTGGTCCTGGCCAAGGTCAGGATCCTGGAATTCAATCTTTAAAAAACAAACAAACAAAAAACACTATCTTGAACACAGAAAAAAACAAACCTTTTTAACATTTAGTTCAGAGGCTTAGCTTGATAGGAAGGGAAGGTATAGTTGACTTAATGTTGTAGCTGTCACCTTTATAAACTTCTGGACCATAAGCTGACTGATGTAAAGATGTATAAAAGTATCGAGTACTTGTTATTCTTAACAATCACTAAATCCAAACTATGTTCTTGGACCAAAAAGATTTTTACATACCACAGATGACTGGGACAACTGGTTACCTAGCTCAAAGTGATGTAAAGATGTATAAAAGTATCGAGTACTTGTTATTCTTAACAATCACTAAATCCAAACTATGTTCTTGGACCAAAAAGATTTTTACATACCACAGATGACTGGGACAACTGGTTACCTAGCTCAAAGGGGTGATGAGTTGAGTGCATTTATATTTGTGAACCTAACTTGTTATAACAAGACCTCTGACTTTTCTTGTAGCAAGTTTTTGTAGTATACAATTTTATCATGGATAACAGAACATGGAAAATTATATGATATCTAACTTTATAAGTGATAGTTTTTCTATATTCATACTTTGTCAAAATAATCTACAATTTTTAAATTTATGGTATAGTAATATGGATACCAAACAGCGAATACTTTTCCAGGCAGTAAATGATACAGAAAACGGATGGAAAAGATTAGAAAAAGTTGTGGAGTTTTAAATTAAAGCATTTTAAAGAACGTTTAGGACCATCATAATCCAAAAATTTTTTAGGGGTCAGTGTTGTGGCATAGTGGACTAAGCTGCTGCTTGCTACGCCAGTATGCCATGTGGGTGCCCATTCTTGTCCCAGGTACTCTACTTCCAATGCAGCTTTCTGCTAATGTGCCTTGTAAAGCAGCAGAAGGTGGCCCAAATGCCTAGGTCTCTGCCATCCATGTAGGTGACCTGGAAGAAGCTCCTGACTTCAGGCTTTGGCCTGGCCCAGTCTTGGCCATTGTGGCCATCTGGGGAGTAGACCAACAAGTGGAAGATCTTTCTGTGTGTCCCTCCCTGTCTTTCTAACTCTGCCTTTAAATAAATAAATAAATAAATAAATTTTCATAAAAATATTTTAAACAAATTTTTAAAATTTTAATTAAATTTTCAACCTTTAATTCTGGTAAAAATGTAAACATATAAAGCCTGCTATCTTAAAGGTTTCTAAGTGTACAGTTTATTCCAATTAAATATATTCACATTGTATATGCAATCTCCAAAACTTTTTCATCTTGTCAAACTGAAACAGTATACCCATTGAACAACAGTTCACCATTTCCATCTCCCCTCAGCCACTGGTATCCACTGTTCTGCTTTTTGGTTGATGAATTTGACCACTTATATGGTTACTTCATATAAATAGAATCATACAATACTTGTCTTTTTACAGCATTTCACTTAGCATAATTCCTCATGGTTGATGCATGTTATAGTGTGTTGCAATTTTCTTCCTTTTTAAGGTTGAATTATATATATATGTAAAATATTTTGATTACACATTCTTCTATCAGTAGATATTTGGGTGGCTTCTGGCTTCTGCCTGTTGATTATTTTAATAGTGCTGCTATGAACTTGGAATTGCAAATAAAGCTTCAAGATCTATCAGCTGTTTTAGATACACACCCAGAAGTGGAATTGCTGGATTGTATTTATTTTTTTGTTTTGTTTTCATTGACAGGAAAATTAGAGAGTCAGTAAAACTTAATAATAAAAGTAAAATTATAACTGATAAATGATTTAAAAATATCTTCAACTTTTTGGATTAAGTCACCTTTTTAAAGACTTGTTTTTATTTGCTACTTTCTAGTTATAGTTTTGTGAATTATTAGCACATTGCTAAGAGTTCCAAATTCCTTAATCATTGTGTTACATGGGGATGGTGTTTTTTTGTTTTGTTTGTTTTACAGATTTATTTTATTTACTTGAAAGCAAAATGACATCTGCTGGTTCACTCCACAAATGGCTGCAATGGCCAGGGCAGGGTCAGGCTGAAGCCAGGAGCTTTATCCAGGTCTCCCATGTGGGTGGCAGGGGCCCAAGTATTTGGACCGTTTTCCACTGCTTTCCCAGGTGCATTAGCAGGGAGCTAGATTGGAAACAGAGCAGCCAGGACTTGAACTGGGACATCGCAGGCAGTGATTTAACACCACAGAGCACAATGCCACCCCAACATGGGGAAAAATTTTACAAATCTTTCTAAAAGTGAAACTTTACTTCAGTGGTAAATTCAAACTTTGAAATTTAAACAGATATTTTTGTGGGAGTTAGTATTGAAGTACCACTGAATTGTTTACATGAAAATAAATGTTGAAGCACTAGAAACTTAGATGATAAAGCGATAGACTAATTCAGGGTTCTAGTCTTTGCTCTTAGTCTTGTGAGCTTTAATAGGTTACTTAAACTCAGATATAGTATCCTTATCTGTAAGTAGATATTTACCTCTTCCAAAGTGTGGAATTGAATGAGAGAATGTTTCTTACAGTACTTTAGGATTATTAATTCCTTCATTATTTTAAAACATCAGTAAATAAATTTATTGATAGAGTTAGTGATTCACTGCAAAGTAATACACATCAGAACCTCTTTATAATGTCTTTGAGAATTTTTGTAATTCAACTTGAGGGGGTGGAAATAATGTTGAGTTGCTTAATGTGGCTTATGGTAGCATTACATTGAACTGTTGGCATGGAATTAGTGGTCTTTCTATGCTTTGGGAGAAAAAGAGGTGAACTCTTATGTTTTTGCTCAAAATTAAAAGAGCTTGATGATAACGTCCATGAGAGCAGCAACCTATTATATTCCCTCCAGTACAGCACTTAAATGCTTTGTAAATGTTAGTTCAGTTGAGCTGAGTATTAACCATCTTTTATCGTTATAAAAGAACCTATTTGTCATGAAATACCATCCCCTCCTTCACCTTTCACTGTGTTATCTATGCATTACCCCTCCCTTGCCGTGGGTAACACCTTGTACTTAAACTAGTACTTTAAATGAAAAACTTTTTTTTATAATTTCTGCAGATTTTCCAGAGTCTGAACTAAGTATTAAAAAAATGCTACAGCAGAGAGAGAAAATTATTCTTATGTAAGATTAGAGTAAAATCTATTCATATTAGTAAACATGTTTAGGTGATGCTTCACCATTAAAAGCTATAAAGTATTTGGTAAATCACAGAATTTTTCCTCAAATGTGAATTTTATATTTTTTGTTTATTTTCTATGTATGTCATCTATGGAGAATACTGTTTCCAACTTTCCCAGACTAAATCTCATTTTATCACTTCCAGGGTCAGTGAAGATATGAAATTAACTGATTTAGAGCTAGGAAAGTTGGCAAATAATATCCAGGAATTATTGTATAATGCTTCAGATATATGTCATGATCGAGCTGTCAAGTTTCTCACATCAAGAGCAAAGGTAGTTTTTTCCGTAAGCCTTTAGATATTTTGTATTTCATGCATCAAGTGATTATTTTGATTTAGAAGAGTGTCTGCTGTTCCTCTTTGTTCCCAACAATGCATATTATGTTTTATTACTTAATAAAGTTATTGTTATTACTTGTATGCTCTATAAGGGAGATGTTGAGATATAAAAATAATCTCAATAAAAGAAATAAGAGCAGTTTTGAATATAATACTTTAATTATTAATTTGGAGTTAATATGCTCTTTTTAATACACACACACACCATATATAATGACCAAATTATTAATAAAACTAAATTCCAGTGTTGTGAAAATTTTAGTTTGACCTGAATTCATTTGTGCTACTATGTTATTTATAAAAGGATCAGAATCAAATTTATATACCTTAAGCTTTTCCTTTTCAATTTCTGTGTTTGAAGTACTGAGAAATTTCATTTAAAATGATGTTTTTGTTGTATATATTATAAAATCAATAAAATTAATGCTATCATTTTTAAACTAAGCTTTATTTCTCATCTTTATTTGATGTTGTGTTATGTCATGATTTTTGTGTTTTCTTTACAACTTAGGATGGTTTTCTTGAGAAACTAAATTCCACGGAATTCATAACACTTTCTAGATTAATGGAAGCATTTATTTTAGACACTGAACAGATTTGTGGAAAAAAAAGCATGTCATTACTTGGAGCACTTCAGAGCCAAGCTAATAAATTTGTGAATAGGTTTCATGAAGAGAGGAAAACCAAGCTAAGGTATTATTACCATGTCCATTTTGTTCTTCATTTTTTTTCTTTATGAAATACAATGATGTCTGAAAGGGAAAATTTGATTGATAGGCCAGCCCAAGTCCATGACAAAATTTTTTTTAAGAAAAAGAAAATTATGGGATTAAAAATCAGATTTCTTAGCTTTTTACAATGTGGTTAGAATATTTACTGCTATTAAAGTACATAGGAGGACTACCCTCAGTAACTTCTTTCCCACTTATGTTTGAACATTATTTTTGGTTAGTCTAAGATATAAGTGGAAATATTTTCTGAAAATATTGGTCCTGTGTATGAATGATTCTTACTTATTATGGTGTTCAGTACTTCTTCAGTGTTATGTATTCACTCACATCCTCTTCCTTTTGACCAAAGAAGATGGTGTCGAAATTGTTAAATTTTACCTTTCTTTTTATTTTTGAATAGCCTCCTCTTAGACAATGAGCGGTGGAAGCAAGCTGATGTTCCTGCAGAATTTCAGGATCTTGTTGATTGTATATCAGATGGAAAAATTGCTTTACCTGAAAAAAAATCAGGAGGTATGTGTACTCTTTACACACATTCTTCCAACTATTTTTAAAATTATTTTTTATTTATTTGAAAAGCAGAGTGACAGAGAAAGTCAGAGACGGACAAGACAAAGCGATCTTCCATTATATGGTTCATTCCCCAAATCCCCACAACAGCCAGGTCTGGGCCAACATAAGCTAACAGCAGGGAGTTCAGTCTGGGTCACCTATGTGGGTGGCAAGGACCCAAATAATTGAGCCATCACCTGCTTCCTTCCAGGGTGCACATTAGCAGAAAACTGGAATGGAAGCAGACCTGGGGTTTGAACCCAGGCACTCAAATTTGGGATGCAGATGTCCAGGCAGTTTCTTAGCTACTGCATCAGACACATAGCTCACTAGTTTGTTTATTTTTGTATGTATGCTTAATATTTCTTTAATTGACAAAGCCTATTGAAAAGCCTAGAAGTAATATTTCCGGTTTAGTTAGTGAATAGTTAACAGGAAAGTTATCTATAATAATTTATAATAATTTAAAATATTTATTGAAAAGCAGACATTTGGCATTGCTGTTAAGCTGCTGCTTGGAATGCCCACATCCTATATCACAGTGCCTGGGTTTGAGTCTCCATTTCAGCTTCCTTCCACTCTAAGATACAGCAGGTGATGGCTCAAGTTCTTGGGTCCTTGTGACCCACGTGGGAGACCCGATTGAACTCTATGCTCCTGGCATCAGCCTGGGTCAGCTCCTGCTGTTCTGGGCATTTGTGGAGTAAACCAGTGGGTGGGAGATCTCTCTGGCTCTATTTGTCTCTCTGCCTGCCTGTCTGTCTCTCTGTGTTTCTCTTTGCCTTTCAAATAAATAAATTTAGTAAGTAAATATATATTTAGTAAGTAAAAATATATTATAAATATTTGAGTATTAACCATATGTCAGACACTGGACTGTACACTTTCATGCATTACTCCAATTTGTCCTCACTAAAACCTATTATTAGGTTTAATAGTGTTGAAGCATGAGGCTTAGAGGGGTTAGGAAACTACCAATGGTGAGCTGGTGAAAACCAGAGTTATGTAATTTCATATTCTAAACTACTGTATCAGATATTTTTTTTTTTTTTTGGACAGGCAGAGTGGACAGTGAGAGAGAGAGACAGAGAGAAAGGTCTTCCTTTTGCCGTTGGTTCACCCTCCAATGGCCGCTGTGGCCGGCACGCTGTGGCCGGCGCACCGCGCTGATCCGAAGGCAGGAGCCAGGTGCTTCTCCTGGTCTCTCATGGGGTGCAGGGCCCAAGCACTTGGGCCATCCTCCACTGCCTTCCCGGGCCACAGCAGAGAGCTGGCCTGGAAGAGGGGCAACCAGGACAGAATCCGGCGCCCCGACCGGGACTAGAACCCGGTGTGCCGGCGCTGCAAGGCGGAGGATTAGCCTAGTGAGCCGCAGCGCTGGCCTTAAGTTTTTAAAAGATGTTTAATTTCATCTTCTTGAAAGAAAGACAGAGATCTTTTACCCAGTAATTCATTCCCCAAATGAATGAATGGCCAGGGTGGGTCAGGCCAAAGTTGGGATTCCAGAACTCCATCTGAGTCTCTCCTATGGGTGGTAAAGGCTCAAGCATTTGAATCATTATCTGCTGCCTCCAAGGATTAGCATTAGTAGGAAGCTAGATTAGAAGTGGAGGTGCAGGACTTTAACTGGCACTGTGATAGGAAATGTGCTTGTCCCAAGTACCACAATGCTTGTCCTTGTACCTTACTCTTTAGTGACATATATTTATTCATTCAGAAAACACTGATTTCTACTTTGTGTTATATATTGAAACAGAGCAAATAGTTGATTCTTTTTTTGAAGATTTATTTATTTGAAAGTGAGAAATACAGAGAAGAGGCAGAGAGAGAGAGATCTTCCATCCACTGGTTCACTCCCCAAATGGCCGCAGTGGCTGAAGCTGGGCCAATTTGAAGCCAGGAGCTTCTTCCAGGTCTCCCACATGGATGCAGGCATCCAAAGACTTGGACCGTCTTTGGCTGCTTTCCCAGGCACATTAGCAGGGAGCTGAATTAGAAGTGGAGTAGCCAGGAACTCGAACCAGAGCCCATATGGGATGCTGGCGCTGCAGGCAGTAGCTTTCCCCACTGCACCACAATAGTGAACTAGTGTGGTTATATGATAGGAAAAAAAACACAAAATGTAAAGAACTGTGGAGAAAGAGAACTACGAAGATGACACAGAAAGAAGGACCAGAGAGGAAGGAGGAAATCCAGATCATAGAAATAAGAAATTAGAATTTCAATGAGAGAATTGTTAGTATCAAATATCAGTTGGGTTTTCTGTGACAGGGATACAATGGCTGTGAGATATCTTGTGTACCTGTTAGTCATCATTTGATACTGATTTTTTTTGGTAAAGATTTATTTATTTATTTGAAAGACAGTGTCACAGAGAGGCAGAGAGAGAGAGAGAGAGAGAGGTGTCTTCCATCTGCTGGTTCACTCCCCATATGGCCGCAACAGCTGGAGCTATGCCAATTCAAAGCTGGGAGCCAGGAGCTTCTTCTGAGTCTCCCACACAGGTGCAGGGGCCCAAGGACCTGGGCCATCCTCCACTGTTTTCCCAGCCCTTAGCAGAGAGCTGGATCGGAAGGGGAGCATCCGGGACTTGAACTGGTGTTCATATGGGATGCAGGCAATGCAGGTGGTGGCTTTACCCTCTGCGCCACAGCGCCGGCCCCCTTGATACTGATTTAAAATGCATTCTATAATATTAAAGTTGACATTATGAAGTTCTTGAATATTTTTAATGGAGGCAGCAATTCCATTATTTTAAATTTTATGCATTTTGTTAAAGTTTAATATTTCTACATAGAAACATTTTTAAGTTATATAGTTCACATTTGCACAAAATACAAGAACACTTCATGAGAAAGGCTGAATAAAAAGACAAACAGGCCGGCGCCATGGCTCACTAGGCTGATCCTCCACCTGGCCGGCACCCCGGGTTGTAGTCCAAGTTGGGACGCTGGATTCTGTCCGGGTTGCTCCTCTTCCAGTCCAGCTTTCTGCTGTGGCCCGGGAAGGCAGTGGAGGATGGCCCAAGTGCTTGAGCCCTACACCTGCATGGGAGACCAGGAAGAAGCACCTGGCTCCTGGCTTCGGTTTGGCGTGGCTCACCAGCCGCAACGCACCGGCTGTAGTGGCCATTTGGGGGGTAAACCTACGGAAGGAAGACCTCTCTCTCTCTCTCTCTCTCTCTCTCTCTCTCACTATCTAACTCTGCCTGTAAGAAAAAAAAAAAAAGACTAGGGTGGGCGGGTGTTTGGTATAGTGGTTAAGATGCCACCTGGGACGCTTGCAACCCTTATTGTACTGCCTGAGTTCAAGTCACAGCTCCACTCCCAATTTTAGCTTCCTGCTAATGTTCACCCTAGGAGGTACCAGGTGATCATTCAAATGATTGAGCCCCTGCCACTTACATGGGAGACCTGGATTGAGTTCCTGGATCTCAATTTCAGGCCTGGCCCAGTTTCAGCAGTTGTGGACATTTGGGCAGTGAACCAGCCAGATGAGAGCTCTCTGTGTTACTCTTGGTCTTACTCTCTCTCTTTCCTTCTTCCATTTCTCCCTCTCAAATAGATAAATAATTTTTAAAAAAGATAGTAACCCAGGGCTAGTGCAGTGTCATAGTAGTTAGGCTTCCATCTGTGATGCTGGTATCCCATATGGGTGCCGGTTGAGTCCTGGCTACTCCACTTACTCCAGCTCCCTGGTAATGGCCTGGGAAAGAAATGGAAGATGGGCCAAGTGGTTGGGCCCTTGCACCCACTTTGGGGAACCTGGAAAAACATCTGGCTTTGGCCTAGCCTAGCACCTATCATTGTGGTCATTTGGGGAGTAAGTCATTGGATGGAAGATCCCTCTCTCCCTGTCTCTTTCTTTCTCTCTGTAAGTCTACCTTTCAAGTAAATAAATAAATAAATCTAATTTTTTTAATTCATTTTTATTTAACTTGAAAGACAGAGACAGAGATCCTCTGTCTGCTGGTTCTCTCCCCAGATGCTTGAAGCATCTGAGGCTGAGCCAGCTGAAACCAGAAGCTGGGAACTCAATCTGGGTCTCCCATGTGTGTGGCAAGGACCCAGATCCTTGGGCCGTCACAGGATACACGTTAGTGGGCATCTGGAACCTAGATTGGAGCTAGGACTTGAATCCAGACATTCTGATGTGGGCATCCCAAGTTGCATCTTAATTGCTGTGTGCAACAAGTCTGTCTCTAGCAGACTGAATTTTTAAGGACCTTTGTCTTACCTGATAAAGTAACATACTGCTTCTCTGCAATATTGAGACTTGGTTAAGAAGCAATCTTTGCCCTGAAAATATTTATAGTGTGATACACATAGTGAAATGTGATTAGAAATTTTTTCACACTGTACAAAAGTGTCAAAGAACAGAGGAAATAGACATTTTGTGTCTTAGAGTTCAAAACAATTTGAAGTTTAGGGAAGTACATTTACAATAATCTAATTGATGCAGCTGATCTAGAACAATCATGCAGTTTACTGTTGTTTCACCCCAAAATGCTGGGTTTTGTTTTATAATGATAGGAAATATATGCTGAAAATAAGGTAACTTCTTGGTTTAAATCTTGAAAATTAAATATATCATCTCCCCATTGAATATAGAAATTAACTCATTCTGAGAATGATAGTAACAAAGACAAGATGTTTAAGTGCTAGTTTCTCTGTTTCAACTAATAATAGCTTGTGCCAAGCATAGAGGAAAGGCAGTTTATCATTTTCTCTACCATTGACAGCAACTCTGAAAGACAGTTACTGTTTTTTTTTTTTTTTTTTTTTTAAAGATTTATTTTTATTTATTTGAAAGACGGAGCTATAGAGAGAGGTCTTCCATCTCCTGGTTCACTCCCCAGATGGCCGCAACGGTCACAGCTGCGTTGATTAGGAGCCAGGAGCTTCATTCGGGTCTCACACGCGGGTGCAGGGGTCCAAGCACTTGGGCCATCTTCCATTGCTTTTCCAGGCCACAGCAGAGAGCTGGAATGGAAGAGGAGCAGCTGGGACAAGAACCGGCGCCCATATGGGATGCTGGTGCTTCAGGCCAGGGATTTAACCTGCTGTGCCATAGCGCCGGCCCTGACAGATACTGTTAACTGCATTTAATTTTGGATACAAATGTTGAGACTCAAAGAGATTAGGTAATTGATCCATGGCCATGCATCCAGTAATTGGTAATACTGGGATTCATATCCAAATCTGTCTGACTTTGTATTCTATATACTTTATTTACTTTGTGCCAAATTACTTCCCAAGAAATAGATATTTGTTTTCAGAAATGAGATAGTTGCAGGTCCTATATAGTAACTATATTTTTCAGCCTTTTCTCCAGCATTCTATTTGATTTTTGTATCCTTGTCTCTCTTGTTTATTTACTTTACTCTTCAGCTACAGAAGAAAGAAAACCAGCTGAAGTTCTGATTGTTGAGGGACAACAGTATGCTGTTGTTGGGTGAGTGATACATTTTTCTTTATTACTTGAATCAGGAGTTTAAAACTTATATTTAGTTCTTCCTTGGAGTGAATTGGGAATTTTGGATTAATAATTTTAAAACTTACAAAATATATAAAGGAAATTTTAAGAATTTATTTTCTACATTGTGTGCTTTATTTCTTCAGAACTATACTGGCTTAACAAAAGGGGCCTGATCCTTCTTATAATATGAAATCTATATAGTCCAATGGTAGTTAGTGGCTCCATGATGTTGTTACTATCCCATGCATTTTTTCCACCTTTTAATTTACAACTTTCTTAATGTGTAGTACAGCATAGTAATTTAAGTGGAAATATGGACAATTAGTTATAGTAGGAATAATTGTGAAAATTAAACAGGTGGTACATGTAAAGCCTTTAGCACAGTTTCAGCACCTAAGAAGTTGATAGTTGTATTCATCATCATCATCATTTGAGTCATGGGTCTTTTACTCTTTCTTGTTAAATCTCAAATTCGAGTTAACTAAAACAAATTTCAGCATTGCTTGTCTAGTACTACATGCCTTTTATTAAGTCAATAAATAAAATCTTGATGTACTTTTTAAAAAATATCTTCAGGGGCCGGCGCTGTGGCTCACTTGGCTAATCCTCCGCCTGCGGCGCCGGCACACTGGGTTCTAGTCCCAGTTGGGGTGCTGGATTCTGTCCTGGTTGCTCCTCTTCCAATCCAGCTCTCTGCTGTGGCCCAGGAAGGCAGTGGAGGTTGGCCCAAGTGCTTGGGCCCTGCACCCGCATGGGAGACCAGGAGGAAGCACCTGGCTCCGGGCTTCAGATCGGTGCAGCGTGCCGGCCGTAGCAGCCGTTTGAGGAGTGAACCAACGGAAAAGGAAGACCTTTCTCTCTTTCTCTCTCTCTCTCTCACTAACTTTGCCTGTCCAAAAAAAAAAAAAAAAAAAAAAAAAATCTTCAGGGCAGGCAGTGTAGTGCAGTGGTTTAGGCTGCATCCAATATCAGAGTTCTTGGAACTGTCTCTATATCCCATCCAGTTTCCTACTGACATGCACCCTGGGAGGCAGCTGATGATGGCTCAAGTACTCAGATCCCTGCCACCCATGTGGGAAACCTAGATGGAGTCCTTGGCTCCTAACTTTGGCCTGGCCCAGCCCTGGCTGCTGTGGGCATTTGGGGGAGTGAACCAGCAGATCTTTTTCTTGCCTCCCCACCCCCCTCTCCTCCCTCTCTCCCTTTATCTTTCCCTCTTCCTGTCACTCTGCCTTCCATTGAATAAGTTTATTTATTTAATAAACTTTTAAAAAACTTCATGTTCTTTAGCATTAGTTTTATGTACTTCTGTATATATGGTATTGTTTGATCTTTATTCCTTTTAAAATAATTTTATTTGGGAAGTAAAGAGAATATAGAGGAGGGAAGAGGAAACTCCCATCTACTGGTTCACTCCTTAATTGCCCACAGAGGATGAGGCTGGACCAGGCTAACGTTAGGAGTTGGAAACTCAATTGAGGTCTCCTACATAGATAGCAGGGGTCTGAAATTTGCAGCAGAGTTAGAACTCAGACCTCAAACCCAGGCCCTCTGCTATGAGATAAAAATTTTAAAAATAGCAACTTAACCAATAGATCTAACACTCACTCATTTGATCTTTCCAACCATTTTGTGAAATAGGAATGCTGTAGGTTATTGGTTCTTTTCTACACTTATTAGAATTAAAGCTAGAAACTTAAGTAGTTGAAATAAACTAACTCAAATGGAGTTAGAATTAGAATTTAGATCTAATTCTCAATATCTAGATCAACATTCTTTTTCACTTTTCTTCTAATTGTTGAAATCTTTTCTGATACCTTTCAGACTTTTCTAAACCATTGTTTCACACGGATGTCTCATTTCTGAGCATCTCCGTATACTTAGATATCCTGTTATAAATAACTATTTCCTTCGTAAATTCAACTTATTTAACCTGCCATCAAAGTCTTTTCAACTTGTGACATGTCATGAAATTGAGTTGACAACTTTATCATCTTTGGAAGACGTTTAGTAACCTACCCTTAAGCTCCTTAGGTGGTATGAGGCCCTTAGAAGAAGCTACTATAGCTTCTCTTCATATAACTAAGAAAGTTTGCACTAGGTTCTCTTCATGAATTCAGTAGTTACAGCTGAGGACCTACTATGCTAGTAATTTTTGTTAGTGTTTCTGAATGGAATACTTGCTTATTGAAGAGGTTTTCTTAATAAGAATGCCATACAGAGAGTGCCATGCTTACAGCACAGAATTTAAGGCCTACCCATTTTGTGTTGTTTAAGTGCTGATACCACAGTTATTCAGCTCTCAGAGTAAGTGCCTTGTTAAATCTTGCACTGTAGGCACTTCTCATGACTCATATTAGTCCAGAACCTGCTGTACTTGCAGGTGAAACACATAATTTAAGTTACTAATAATACTGTATCATAGAGATACTTTAAACTGGTAAGTCATTTTATTTTTTAAACATTTTATTAAAATATAGTATACATATCAAGAAATGCACATATAACTGTACAGATAAATGAGTTTTTGGTTCTCTAATCACACTCATAACCAACACTCAGATTAAGAAAAAAACATTACTAATACCCTAAGAGTCCTCACCGTTCTCCTCTTCTGTTTCTTTTTTGTAAGTGTGAAAGAGTATACTGTCATTTATATGGTATGACTCAGTGAAGTAACATTTATTTCTCTATCTATTTATTTATTTTAAAGATTTATTTATTTATGTGAAAGGCAGAGTTACAGAGAGACAGAGGCAGAGAGAGGGGGGGGGGTGAGGGTCTTCCATCCACTGGTTCACTCCCCAAATGGCCACAATGGCCAGAGATGGGCTAGTCCAAAGCCAGGAGCCAGGAACTTCTTCCAGGTCTTCCACATGGGTGCAGAAGCCCAAGGACTTGGGCCATCTTCTGCTGCTTTTCCAGGCCATAGCAGAGAGCTGGATCAGGAATGGAGCAGCTGGACTAGAACCGGCACCCATATGGAATGCTGGCACTGCAGGTGGCTGCTTTACCTGCTCTGCCACAGTGCCAGCTCCACAGTAATATTTCTAACTATATACTTAAATGATATGATGACACCTAACAGTGTTTATCCTTTCTATATATAAACTATCATAAGAGAAATGGATATTTGTGTTTTTGGGTCTGACTTATTTCACTTAGCATAATGATCTTCAGTTGTATTCATTTTATTGCAGATATCAGTATTTTATTATTTTTATGACTGAGTAGTAGTCTATCATGTATATATACACACCACATTTTCTTTATCCAGTCATCAGTTGATGGACATCCAGGTTGATTCCATATCTTAACCATTGTGAATTGAACTGCTATAAGTATGGCAGTGCAATGGTCAGAACTGAGCTGATCCAGAACCAGAGCCAGGAGCTTCTTCCACGTCTCCCACGTGGGTGCAGGGGCCCAAGCTCTTGGGCCATCCTCTGCTGCTTTCCCAGGCACATTAGCAGGGAGCTGGATTGGAAGTGGAGCAACTGGGACACAAACCAGCACCCATATTGGATGCCGGCACTGCAGGCGACGGCTTTACCTGCTACTCCACAGCGCTGGCCCCACCAGCCCAGTTTGGACATGTTGATGATATTAATTCTTTTAATCTATGAACATGAAATATTTTTTCCATTTTTATGTGTTTCTTCTATTTATTTAATTGATGTTCATCACAGAGATCTTTTACATCCGTGGTTAAATTTCTCCCCAAAGCATTTAGTTATTTTTGTAGCTGTTATGAGTGGGACTGATTCTATAAGTATTTCTCAGCTAGAGAATTATTGGTATATAGGAATGTTACTGATTTTTTTGTGTTTTATATCCTGGAAATTTGCCAAATTTTCTTATGGTTCTAATAGTCTCTTAGTGGAGTCTTTGGGTTCTCATAAAAAGGATCATGTCATCTGCAAACAGGGATAATTTGACTTCTCCTATCCAATTTGTATCCTTTTGATTATTTTTCTTGCCTAAGAGCTTTGGCTAAAACTTCCAGAACTATATTGAATATAGTGGTGAGAGTGGGCATACTTGTCTGCTTCCAGCCTTTTCCCATTGAATATGATGCTGGCTGTGTATTTGTCATACATTGCTTTGTGTTGAGATATGTTCTATGCCCAGTGTTTTTTAAGGTTTGTATTATGAAAGGATATTGTATTTTATCAAATGCTTTCTCTGCTCTATTGAGCTAACTGTATGATTTTTATTCTTCATTTCATTGATGTGATATATCATATTTATTGATTTATGTATCTTGAACTGTCTCTACATCCCTGTGATAAATCCCACTGGCTGCATGGATGATCTTTTTTATATATTGCTGGATTTGACTTGGCTAGTATTTTGTTGAGGATTTTTGCATCTGAATTCATCAGGGATATTAGTCTATAGTTCTCTCTTTTTGTTATATCTTTTTCTAGTTCTAGAGTTAAGGTAATACTGGCCTCCAAAAATGAGTGTGGGGGGCACCAGTGCTGTGACGTAGTAGGTTAAACATCCACATGTAGTGGCACCAGTGTCCTATGTGGGTGCCAGTTCAAGTCCTGGCTGCTCCACTTCTGATCCAGCTCTCTGCTATGGCCTGAGAAAGCAGTAGAAGATGGCCCAAGTGCTTGGGCCCCTGCATCTGCCTGGGAAACCCAGAAGAACCTCCTGGCTTTGGATTGGTCCAGCTCCAGCTGTTGTGGCCATCTGGGGAGTGAACTGTTGGATGGAAGATCTCTCTCTTGTCTCTCCAGCTTTGTAACTATGCCTCTCAAATTAATCTTTTTAAAAATGAGTTTGCCACGGTTCTCTATCTTTCAGTCGTTTTTGAACAGTTTAGAAGGAATTGGTGTTAGTTCTAATTAAAAGTTTGGTAGAATTCAGTAGTAAAGCCATTTATTCGTGGGCTTTTCTTTATTGGAAGGCTATTACTGATCTAATCTCAGTCTGGGTTAGTGGTTTACTCAGATTTTCTAAGTCTT